TTAAATTATAAAGACGTGATTTACCGTACGGTTAATTTCTGTTTGAGTCATTGTTTACTGTACGATTAATTTCAGTTATAAAGTGTTAGTTATGCTCATTTCTGAAGCAGCTGGGAGAAACAATCATCATCCATGTTCAGAAAGTTTATATTACACATGTAAGGTACAAAAATGACCAGCCCGGGATCATAAATCCACCCAGATGATCTACAGCTGCACGTGATCTTCAGGGCTTGGCCACACCTCCAAGGAGGAGTCACCACCGCTTGGCCACACCTCCGAGGAGGAGTCACCACCATCGACGAATAGGAAGCCCTATTTTAATTCATGTGACCCAGCTCTCAACCAATACAAGCTCGCCATCTTGTGTTCTAAAAATGGTGCATGCGTGGATGTTGGGATTTGTAGGCGTGGAACTAAAACTACATTCCCTACCGGAAATGGAAATCAGATCGTGTTTTAACAATATCATACTAAATAAATAAAAAATACATATATGCACACATTTCATTAAGCTAATTTATTATCTGAATAAAAATACACTTCAAAAGTCATGATTTACTGTACGGTTAATTCTTTTAGAGTCATTGTTTATTGTACGATTAATTTCTGTTGTAGCACCATCATCAAAAAAAAAAAAAAAAGGCACTCCCTGTATCCTTCAGTTAACTTCAACACACACAAATAAAATAAAACAACTTTAAAAGTATTCAGTGAGGAGCAGAAGTCATGTTGAAATAAGAACAGGCGAGGAGCTGACACGACTAATGAACGATGAGAAGACGCTCAAATTAGAGAAGTTTGTTTAAAAATTTTACTTTAAGACCCATAAAACAATAAAACCTTGTGCTTTTACAGGAAAAATTATAGCAGCAAAAAATAATACAACCTGGTACTTAAGTACTTACCATGTAAGTACACAGTACTAGTACAGAGTAATATACCCGATAACTACACAATGCGTATGGGTAAGTACTAGGCTTTATTATAGTTCACTGTCAGGACTGTATATTCACTTGAATTTACATGCAAGTACCAGGTACTCGTCTGGTACTTGAAACCAGGTACTCGTCTGGTACTTGAAACCAGGTACTCGTCTGGTACTTGAAACCAGGTACTCGTCTGGTACTCGTCAGGTTTGTATTTTGTATTGTTACTAAAATAGATGAAGATGTTTGTAAAGTTACACAAATTAAAAGTGTATTTGCTGTCGGCTCAGAAACAATGACGTCAGTTTTTTATACGAACTGTTGGACGCTGACGATCTGTCCGGTCAAAGAACAGATTGATCCGTTTCTGAACTGAAATAAAACTTCAGGGAAAAACACTAAAATGTTTAAAGTCAGAAAATAACTGAACTCTGCATTTAAAGTCTGATTATTAAATATTTTCTCAGATTTATAAAAAATATTAGTAAACGAAACCCTCAAGTTCCCAGAACGGCTCGTCGGCCATTTTGGTTCTTCACTGCCAGGACTCTGCTCTGTGATTGGACGGTTTGTGTCTCCGTCGTCCGATCAGGATTTAAATCATTTTCTTCAGGGTCTCTCATAATGTTGGATTTTAAAGAGCTTTAGGGCCACGGTGCAGAAATGTTTCTCCCTTAATGCTGAGATTAAAGTCAGAATCCATCATGTAATTCTGACTTTAATCTCAGAATTAAGGGGAACAGATTGCACCGTGGTCCTAATCCTCATCCATAGAACTTTGAGTTTCACTCAGTTTTTTTTTTCAGAGAAATGTTTCAAAAATGTTTATTAAACATATTCTGGGTTAAAATGCTTTAATTAAAAACAAGCAGGTCCGTTCTCTTTGGTTCTGAACACTTTTATCTACTTCAAGTAAAAACAGATTCTGTAACTTCCAACAAACAAACTTTCTGACGGGTTTATTACTAGAAACCCGTCCAAGTGCCATAAAAAGGAGCTAAAAGGTTCTGGTTCGGTCCGGGCGGGTCGATGGGACCAGGCACGTTGGTTTGGTCCAAGTGAAGACGCAGAAAAACAAAGATCAGAACCAGAAACATCATAATTCTAAAGAAACCGACGATTCGTCTTTGCACGAGTTTCTTTCGTAACCCAGCATGAAAACAAACGGACCTCCGGTTCTGGTCGTTAGGTGGAGCCCGTCTGGTGTCTGGACCAGCTGCTCACGTTCTGACAGAACCATCTCTGGACCTCCAGACTGAACCCGACCAAACGGTTCTGTTCTGCAGGAAAACCCAAACGCCTCCTCTCTCCGTGCGCCAGGAGAGAGGAACGGATAAATAAAATCAAAACTTTTAAAAAACAATAAAAAAAGATTCAAGTTCTGTTTCAACCGCGAGGAAGCAAACATCAGAACCCAGTCCAAACTGGTTCTGATTCTGTTTGACATTAAAATTAAATCTAAAGAGTTTTAAAGCACCGGCTGCCTGGTTCCTCTGCACACCACCTCCACTCGGGTCTGCGGACCTCCAGGCACTACAGGTCCTCAGGGGTTCTGGTGGACCTCCAGGAGAACTTCAGGGTCTTCAGGGGGTTCTGGTGGACCTTCAGGCGAAGTACATGGTCCTCAGGGTGTTGTCGTGGATCTGCACGGCCCGGGCCAGAGCCTGGGGGTCCCTGCCGTTGCTCTGACCCGAGATGTGGCTGCCCTCGGCGCTGAGACAGAACAGGACAGAACAAACAGTGAGAACCAGGACGAAAGGACACATCGTCTCAAGAACCATGAGTCCTGAAGGGACCGGGTCAGGACCGGGTCAGGGGTCAACAGAGACTGTTTTAACAGATGCTGCTGTTCCTCCGTGGGAGGTTTGATGTGACGTGAACTCGGCAGCAGATCTTTGATTATCGTCAGCAGCGTCCTCCTTGACCCGGTCCTGGTTGGTACCTGTGACCCAGGACTGACTGGTTCTCTGTGTCCACCAAGCCTCCTCTCAGCTCCGCCCCGTCTCGTGAACGACAGGAACAGGAAACGAGACAAAAAATGTAAACGTCTCCGTCGTTTGTTCGGAGGTTCTAACGCAGCAACAACTGAACCAGGAAGAATCTGCTGAAAAGACCCGACCGGGTCTTTTGGACCGGTCCCCCACCTGTCGTGCTCCTTGTCCACCAGGTGGTAGCGAGCTCTGAACGCCACCAGGTGAGCGTAGTAGGCGGGAGCGGGGATGGAGACGGAGCGCGTGCAGCGCACGTAGGTGTGGCACAGCTGGTAGGTGAGCAGCTGGAACTCGTCCGCAGAGAACCCGTTGTCGTCCCACAGGACGTGGTAATGGGACGGCCGACTGGTTCCCTGAAGGGGGCGGGACAGAACCGTTAACCTGAGAACTGCACGGTGCGGGGGCGGGGCGGCAGCGGCCGGCTCACCTGGATCCCGGCGTGGCTGCACAGGTAGAAGTCGAACTCGTTGGGGTGTGTGATGTCCGTGTCCACCGTGGTCCCCGCGGGGACGTTTCCACTGCGTCCAACCTGGAGACAAGTCAGGATGTCCAACGTTTAGACACGTCCTTCTGTCTTTTCAAGAAAAGAATCTCAGCAGATTTACAGAAAGAGTTCTGCAGCTTTTATCCACCAGAGGCTGATCTCAAATCTAAACATTTTCATGTCCGTCGGCTCATCCAGACGGTTTCTTTTGTTGCCGAGACATTTCATCATTCATCCCAAGGACTTCTTCAGTCTGAGGAGACAACAACAAACAAGACTGATTCCCTTCCCTTGAAGTCCGGATGAAGGACGAAACATCTCAGCAACAAAAGACACCGTCCAGATGAGCTGACTGAACTTTGTTGGATTATTGAACTTCTGTGTTTTAATGTGACATTTTCTATTCACCATATTATCCTGCATTTATCCAAGGGGGGCACCCCCCCCCCCATAAAGGTCATGGGTCATAAGTCTGTAGGTGCTCTCTCATTAAAAATGAACTGCAGCTGAAGGAGACACCAAAGTGGATACACTGTCGCCCCCCAACACGATAAATTGGGGGTGTTCCTGGGACAATGTTCCTTCAGACACCATCAGTCCAGTTACTGGCAGCAGGTGGACCAGACCAGCGCTGCTCTCCGTCCAGATGTTTGTGGCTAAAAGATGCTAAATGTTCTGAACTTGTACAACTTTATCTGATCCAGACGCTCAAAGATCTTCACAACAACCTGTGCCTCATTTACCCGTTCACACAGCTCTATACTAGATCTGTACAGAGAATAACCAGAGCTTCATCATCCACACACTGATGGACACATCAGAGGCAGTGAGGGGTCAGTGTCTTGCCCAGGGACACTTCGGCATGGGACTGCTGGTGGAGTCAAACCTCCAACTCTTACATTGGAGGACGACTGCTCGAACCACTGAGCCACAGCTGCACCTTACTTTGGTTTTAAAACAAGGAGTTCTCAAAACATCCAGAGATAAATGAGACATTCATCACACCGAGATCAAACACGTCCTCAATGTCCAACACATCCTTAATGTCCAACATGTCCCTAATGTTTAACATGTTTCTTATGTCCAACACATCCTTAATGTCCAACATGTCCCTAATGTTTAACATGTTTCTTATGTCCAACACATCCCTAATGTCCAAGATGTCCCTAATCTTCCAACAGGTCCTTGATATCCAACATGTCTTTAATGTCCCTAATGTTCAACATGTTTTTAATGTCCATAATGTCCCTAATGTCCATCTACGGTTGTTACTCCAACACGTCCCCAATGTCCAATATGTCCCTAATTTTTAACATGCTACTAATGTTCAACATGTCTTTAATGTTTAACGTGTTACTAATGTTTAACATATCCTTAATATCCAACATGTCTTTAATGTCCCTAATGTTGTAACATGTCCCCAATGTCCAACACGTCCCTAATGTCCAAGATGTCCCTAATCTTCCAACAGGTCCTTGATATCCAACATGTCTTTAATGTTCCTAATGTCCAACATGTCCCAAATGTCCCAACATGCCTTTAATGTCCCTAATGTTCAACATGTTTTTAATGTCCATAATGTCCCTAATGTCCATCTACGGTTGTTACTCCAACACGTTGCCATGACGACCCAACAAGCGATGCTTTATGATGGTCTCTGCTCCTCCATCAGACTGACGTTCTCTTGACTCTGGGTTCTCCTGCAAGTGACAGAACCCGTGGAGTTTGGACGTGTTCCACAGTGCGACGTGTTTGGAGCTCTCACCCGCTCGCTGCGGTCAGCGCAGAACAGGCGTGTGTGGTGGCGTTTCTGGACCACGATGTAGGTGATGCCGGGCTGGTACTCCTTCTCCAGGCTGAGGCACGCCTCCCTGATGGCCAGCAGCTCGTAGTACAGAACCTGCACACATCAGACGTGGATGAAGGTCCTCGAGTCCGTCCAGAGCTCCGTAAGACGTGGACTCTAAAAACTAAACCTTGATTTCATGTGAAAACATTTTTGAGACAAAGGTGAGACATTTCCAGGTGGCAGTGGACCTGTCTGAACTGGCCCTCCGACACGCCGTCCCTGTAGAAAATGATCCGGGTGGGTTTGTAGCGGGTCGACTTGTAGAACTGGATCAGGAGCTCTCGCACCATCGAAGCCAGGTCCTGGATGACTTCCTGCCTGGGTCTCTGGACCCGGACTGTGGCACAGTACCTGCTGGGGTGGGCGTCCATACTGCCCACCACCTGAGGAGGAGACGACTCGAGGGTTAAAACGCACTCCAGAACCAGAGGGAAGAACTTCACAGGAAGTCTCACCGCTGCCAGGGACGGCTTCTTCCCGTCTCCGGCTGGAGGATGAGTGACGTCTGCTCCGAGGAAGATGATTGGCTGCTGGAACACAGACGGGCTGATGGGAAATAAAAAGATCAGGTAAATATTGACGGCACTGTTTCAGGTGCAACATCTGAAGGTGGAGACGTTTTACCGTTGGTGCGGCAGCAGGATGTTGTTGATTCCTCCCAGTTTGACATTGATCTTCAGGCAGAGGTTGGACAGCGTCTGAGGAGACGTCTTCATCACGTTCTTCACCTGGACGCACTGAGTGGCCATGCCAAGGAGGGTGTCTCCGACCCGCTTCACCTCCGCTGTGGGCCGGATACACATTCAGTTTTCACTGGTTCTCTACGAGATACACACCACACACACCTGACCCAGGGTCTGTACCCTCTGAACGCTGAGTCAGCATTATTATCGGAAAGCCGAGTCATTGTCCGAACGCTGAGACAGCATTATCATAAGCATGCGGAGTCATCGTCCGAACGCTGCGTTAGCTTTATCATCGTTAGCTTTATCATCTGAATGCTGAGTCATCGTCCGAGTGCTGAGTCAGCTTTATTGTCTGAATGCTGAGTCATCTGTAAAACGCTGATTCAGCTTTATCATCTGAATGCTGTCAGAGTCTGAATGCTGAGTCAGCTTTATCATCTGAATGCTGTCAGAGTCTGAATACTGAGTCAGCTTTATTGTCTGAATGCTGAGTCATTGTCAGAACGCCAAGTCAGCATTACCATCAGAACACTGAGTCATCGTCCGAACACTGAGTCAGCTTTATCATCTGAACGCTGGGTCAACGACTGAAGGCCGATTCATCCTTCGAATGCTGAGTCAGCTTTATTGTCTGAATGATGAGTCATCGTCCGAGTGCTGAGTCAGCTTTATCATCTGCTGAATCAGTCTGAATACTGAGTCAGCTTTATTGCCTGAATGCTGAGTCATCTGTAAAACGCTGAGTCAGCTTTATCATCTGAATGCTGAGTCAGAGTCTGAATGTTGAGTCAGCTTTATTGCCCGAACAATGAGTCAGCTTTATCAATGGAACGCTGAGTTTAGCTGTATTTTGGTCAAATGTAATTTCTGCAGTTTTAGGTGGTTTCTTCTCTAACTGGACCTCCTGAGGTTTTTGGACTCTGAGGGGGTTTCTGGGTACCGTAGACGGGAGTTTTTCCGGGGAGGATGACGATGATGAGCTGCAGCCCGCTGTAGACGTTCTTCAGGTGCCTGAACATCGGCTCCACGCTGTCGGCTCCCTGAGCGTATTTACAGAAACACGGCTGACCCTGGATCGGCATCCCAGCATCCTTTGAGATCCTCCTCAGCTGGTCGGTGAAGCTCCTGGGTGCAAACAAACAAGATGAGAAGAATCCTGGGAAACATTCTGCAGAACTAAATGATTTCATCTTTAAATTAAGCGGTAAATTTAAACGCTGACATCAAGTTTAAAATCAGTTCTTAAACGAATCGACAGAACTTGAGGAACTTTGAAGTTCCAGTTTTAATAAACTCGTAAAGTTCAGATTAAAGAAAATGATCTGATCAATTCAACATCATTTTATTAAAATCTTTAGAGTGAAACCAACACTGAAGCTCAAACAGGAAGTTGGAAACAACTTTCAGTTATTTACAGCGTTTAAATATGAAACTGTTGTTTATGAAAATAAAACAAACTGATCTTCAGAAACTAAAATTAAAACAAAAACTAAATCTTTAAATCGTTCTCAGCTGGAGGACGCCTGACTAATAAAATCTAATCATAGATGACGTTTGCCCTGGTTTGTGTTCATTTGTTAGCAAAATATCTCCTGAATCAGTGGAGGAATTTTAATAAAACTCGTCTCAACTGATTCAGTGTTAGTGAATTCAAGATGGCCGCCACAGCTAACCGCTCGGGCCTTTAAAGATTTTAAAAACAGATTTTTACACTCGATCTTTCTGTGAATCTTAAAGTTTCTGTTGGACTCGCTCCTCTGTAACAGAACCGGACCAGGTGGAACCAGAACCTGCCAGCGTCAGGCCTCAGTTCTCCCATCAGGTCCGTTAAAGTGGGTCGGGTCAGAACTGAACCCCCTGCTTACTTCAGGATGTCCTCCCGGCACTGCCGCTGGGCCGCGAAGCAGGCCACGGCCCACAGCTTGACCTCCACTCCGGTGTGGAACTGCTTCCCCCTCATGTCCCACACGCCCTGGGTGGGCGTGGCCACCGTACGGTTCTGCAGAGACAATCGCAGCCGATTACTGAGGCGACGGACCGGAGGAGTCCAGTTCTGGTCCTACTCGTTGGACCTTCATGTTCTGCAGAAGCTCCAGAGTCATGAGTTTATTTAAAGCAAAGGAACATCTAAAACATGCAGGGGCGGGGTCCTCCAGGACCAGGACTGGACTCCCCTGGACTGGACTCTCCAGGACCAGACCATGTCGGCCCACACGCTTCTTAAATCTTTTCAAAATAAAGGTGTTTCTCCAGATGAAGCTGAACGTTTCAACAGAACTCATCTGTTTGTTTTTGTAAAGAAATCAAGAAAAAAGTTTTATTTTCTGTTAAAAAACAAACTAATTTGTTAAAAACTGGAAGAAATCGATCCGGAGGTGATGAAATTATATTTCTGTTCATCAGAACGAACTTAAACTCGACACCTTCATCTGTTTGTCACAAATAAAAACATTTATTAATGTCTGTGTGAGGACGTCACGGTGCATTCAAGTACGTCTGTAAACTAAAGGACTCTTGTTTCTGAAGATAAAAACACTTTAAATATTTTATTAATTTACATAAATCAATCTGTGTTTTGTTTTGTTTCTGCACACACACACACACACACACAGAGACACACACACACACACACACACAGAAACACACACACACACAGAGACACACACACACACACACACACACACACACACAGAAACACACACACA